ATGTGAGTTATCAAGAGAGGAACTTCAGGGAAGAAAAAGCCCATCTTTACGAAAGGTTATGCACGCACTTGGTGCATATTTCGAAACTCACAAAAGGGTAAAGAGTGCAAACCTCATTGCCCTCTGTTCCCAGCTGTCCAATTTCTCTCACTTGGAAGCAATCAATCTCTCGTTTACAATAGTTCATTCATATATAAGCAGTGTCTTTTCTTTTTGTATACAAACAGCACTGTACAAATGGTATGCACACTATTCTACATTTTGCTTTTTTCACTAAATAATATACCCTGGAAAATTGCTTATGTTTTAACAAGTCTCAGGTTTAGATGTTGCATGTCCAAACTTGCATCCCTTGATACCAGGCATGTAGTAGGAACTCAACAAATGCTATTGTCAATTTCATCACTCTTCCTAAATAAATAAACTGACACTGCGGCACCTGTATGCTGAAATGAAATTCAGAACTAGTCCATAAGGGATTTTTGCTGTCTTCACCTTAGAACTATAGTAAAAGCGTGCCTTCCATGACATTCTCAGAAGTAGTGTTCAAAAAGAGACCAAATATATTTCAAATCCTGCCACAAAAAGAGGCAAAAACTGTAGTTGACTCAAAAATTTTATGTCAAAATCTGAGAAATCACAAGTACCGTTGACCCCCAAGCCTTGAATAAACTGAAATCATAGGATTAATAATAAAGCCAATTTTTTTTTACTCAAAAATTTAATTCTGATGTTTACATATACCTTTGTTTTAAGTTGTATTTCACTACTTTCCTGTGTTGAAAACTTAACCTCACTGGAACTTGTGTGGGAAGTCTAGGCATTACCTGGTTTTCTAACTCTGAACTTACATCTGTGGTCCATTAACATTAACACATTGAAGCAGTAAGTGGCAGACAATTATAAGTGAAGGTTAATTTTACGATATTTGGTATCTGAAGAGAACTGTCATGTTCTCTGTGCTTTGTACCTTTGCTAAACCACAATATAAATATAAGCAGTTGATATTTTATAGATCTCTGATGTTAAAAAGTCATGATTTATAACAGCTGAAAGCTCATAATCTCTGCTTTGCCATTTAGGGATTGCTTTCTGCCTTTGTTTTCTGGGCAGCAATCAACACTGTAGACTTTAGTTTAGAGGCAGGGAATCAAAGCAACTGGTAATGACATCGATTGAGTTTTAAAGAGATGTTAAGTTACCTGCATTACTGCTTTGGGTGTATATGTTGTTTGTTAAAAATCCCTATAATCTTAGAATCTTCTTATTTTAAAATTGAATAGATTTGGGGCTATTGCCCCTTACTGAATATGCAAGTTCTGGAGTCAGTGTCATTTTTTCCAAGCAGCTCAGCATACTTAGTGTGTTACTGGTTACTTTTAAAAAGCATTATAAAGGAGTCATATTGCTTATGTGTGCATGCATGTCTGTGTGTGCACATGAGCCTATGAATGTGCAGGAGGGCAGGAGAGAAGAGTGTTCGATCAAATCAATAAGGCATTGAGTCATCTGCCTTTAGAGTTCATAATGAAAGAGGCTTACTGGCGTTGCTTCAGTTTTCTGAAGCTGCTAGTGGTGATAGATGCTGAGAACATATGGGTCCTACGTTTATCACTGTAGTCTTTCCCTTTACTAGACACAAAATAGTTTATAGCACCTGCTATGTAATTTTTAATAATATTACTACACACACACACCCCCAATTACTAAAGTGTAAGTTCCCTTAGAGCAGGACCTTACCTGGCTTGTTCAAATAATTATTCCCAGAATTTAGAAAAGTGTCTAGACCATAGTAGATGACCAATAAGTATTTATTAAATTAATGAATATATTAGCACTGTTTAATGTATTATGATTGTATGCAAACAATCATCTCTGATGAAAGATCTTATTCTGTGCTGTATTATACTTGCTGAGATGTTTGTATCATTCAGAGCCTAATGTATGTGTTAATCAGCAGGCTGTTTTGGGGAACAATAATTTCTTTGATGTATCGTAACTTATATTTTAATCATAATTTGAGATCAAATAGAAGTTTTAAGAAAATAAAAAATAAAATATATAAATATTAACATAATTCCAAAATAAGGAAATATCACTCATTGCCTCAAATGGTCTTCTGGGGCATGGACAGTAAAAGACAAAACAATTGAACCTTTCTTAATTCAACTGACTTACAAAAAACATTGTGAGCTTTTATGCATCACTTCCGTTAGTATCCTAATTGTAATGACATGTTATTTTGATTTTTTATGTTCAATAAATGTACTATTGCTGGAAATTTGGTGCAGGGTCAGAATTGCAACAGTAACAATTTTATATTATCTATAAAAAGTATAGTGCAGTTGTTAACTATTATTTCTAATTAACTATTGTTTCATTATCATTAGATACAATTAATTTGAAGGCACTATAAAATACATCAAGTTGTGTCCTCCATGTAAGTAGTCATTATGGTATAGCATTTTCATTATGACACTAATAGCATTCTTTAGTGAGTATATTATCATTGTCCCATGACACTGGCACTGCAGTGGAATTCAACTCTAATTGGCTATAAAATATCTTTCTTCAGTACAGGTCAAACCATCTTAAAATATTACCTCAGTGCTTTTAGCTTATTGGAATCATATTGGAAAAGTGATTTATTCTTATTTAGCAGTCAAGAAAATGGCAGCATTGACAGGGCAAGTCAATTGCGTAAGGTCAGTTGACAAATCATTTTTACGTGGGTGAGGTCAAGTTTCCAAAGACACAGTCTACTGCACAGGGTGATCAGTGCCTAAGACAGATTTGAAGAAATAAAAGTCAAATGTTTACCTCCCTTGGTTAGAAATAATACAGTTAGTGCTGATATGCTGAAGGCTTCAAAATTTGTGCATTAAATTATATACATGAGTTGCCATACTGTATCTGGCAGCTTTTTATACTATGCCAATGTGTTGACCTTTATGGGATAGTAATGAAATAAATTGAAATCAAGTGTTTTGGGATAGTTGTGATAATAAAAATGAATTTCTAGTTGAAACAAATATCTTCTTTGGTATTAAAAAAGCATGAGAAGAAGCAACAGAATATAACAAAGAGGTAGTAAAAAAAAGGAAAATATAACTACATTAAAGAATATTAAGGGTAACTATTAAAAAAATAAATGTAAAAACTAAATAGTGCTCTAGCAAAGATCCAATTAGAAGTGGATAGTGAATCAAAATTATTAAATGGCTATGGTTGGCCTCATATTGTCATCCACTCCTTTATTATTCTTTATTTGGGGAGACCTCTGAGTTGACTTCTAGCAAATTTTTTCTTTCCTGCCTTCTTCCCTCCCCTCCCCTCCCCTCCCCTCTCCCCTCCCTGCCCCTGCCCTCCCCTCTCCCCTCCCCTCTCCCCTCCCCTC